ATATTATATTGGGACGCGAGCTCTCTATCTAAAGCTACCTCTGTAACTAAAGTATAAAATCCATTTAATGTAGTCTGTATTTTGAAGGGAATGTTACCGTCTATATTACACTCTACCTCTCCATTATTCTCTGAATCTGGATCATTTACACTTAACATAGCTATAACAGTGTTTGGAGGAGAGTCCTCTAATATGGATTCTGATTTAGAAACAATGTTTATATGAGGATTATTATCATTTATATCAATAACATCAACTATTACTTTTGTTGAATCAGAGAGTCCACCGCTGTCTACAGCTTCAATATCCATTTGATAGTTTTTTGCCTTTTCATAATCTAGTTCACCGATCAGGATAATTTCACCAGTTTTCGAATTAATCTTAAATAATTCAGATAAAACACGTTTGCTGGTAGATATCAGATATGACACTTCTCTGTTCGAGCCGATGTCTTTATCAGATGCACTCACGGTAGTTACGCTGGTGCCTTTGGGAGAATTTTCTAGTATTTTTGCTCTATAAAGCGGTTTAGCGAATGTAGGTGCGTTGTCATTCGCATCTAATACATTGACAAATATCTGCATTGTTCCTGACATCTGTGGCTCTCCTCCATCTACAGCAGTTAATAAAAGCGATATGTATTCCTGCTTTTCTCGATCTAAAGGCTTCTGTAGAACCATCTCTACCTTTTTACTCCCGTCTGCCTGATTTTCTAGTTTTAATACGAAGTTATCAGTTGGAGTAAGAGAGTATTGTTGTAAGCCATTATTGCCAATGTCAGAATCAATAGCTTTCTCTAATATGAATTTCGATCCTATCACAGCGGACTCGCTGATTTCAAAGCGTTTTTCTGCATTAGTAAAACTGGGGGTATTATCGTTTATGTCCGTAATCTCCACCGTTACACGAAACAATTCCATTGGGTTTTCCAGAATTAACTGGAAATGTAAAGCACAAGGCGTCGTCTCTCCACATAAAGCCTCTCTGTCTATCCTCTCTTTGATAAGGAGGACTCCCCTTTCTTTATTCAGCCCGATGTATTCTACACTGGCTCCTGTATAGACACGAGCTTTACCTGATTTCAGCCTTTTAAGATCTAAACCTAAATCATTCGCTATGTTACCAACTACAGATCCTTTGGTCATTTCCTCGGGAATTGAATAGCTGACCTGCCCGAGCACGTAGCTGAGACATAGGACCGAGAAAAACAACAGTACTTGCCGTCTCATTGTTCTGTCCGAAGTCGTTTCCTGCACCATTAAGACAAAAGCATTTCCAATGCAGTAAAAACGAACGCAGATAACAAAAAACTCTCGGTAATCCGAGAATAGGAAGAAAAACAGTGTATCCAGTTATATCATTCCTCGCAGAGCGCTTTATGAGCGCAGACCATGTATTCTGCCTTTATCTGAGTATGTCCAACGCATCGACATGAAGGGGCAGGACACAGACAGAAAAACTAACGCCTAGTTCATCGCAACACGCTTGCCAACAGCGACCCTTTGAGTTGAAAGTACAAATTACAACAAGACGTATCACAGAAACACTTTAGTGCAAAGAGATACTGGTAATAAAGCTGAACTAAAAACAGATTTAATTTGGCCATTGATTTGGTATAATTACTTCAGGCAGACTTTGACAACTTTTGAAGAGGTTTAGTAACATATCTGAATGCTGTAATCACAAAAGCAATTTTTCAAATTGTGGACTACATGAGAAGAAGATATGAGGAAGAAACATTAAATAAAAACACAACTCACGGGTAAACCTAATGGTGTTAGCGGACTTAAGTGTCGCTGTCCATGGTGCTGAATAATGGGGCCATAGAAGCATTATCTACATTTTTCAAGGATTTATATATGTTCTGTCTCAGACTGCTGCTGATATCCATGTCTTATGATATCAATGAACCAGTACCACCACTTTAATTTGCATGAAAATTAAACATTGTCATTGTTATACATTTCTAACCTCTAGAGGGGAGTCTGGTTCATCCAGGATGCTCTTTTCACTCTG